TAACATCATTTTGTCATCCTGAAATAATTATTGAATACTTGAAAGTGGATTTACCTGAAATGGGTCCTCCTAAGTTTCTCCACAACCATTGAGTGACTTCAAGATTGTAATCAAGCAAAGGCAATGCAGACTTCACTGTGGATTCTGTGGTTTCTTGAATGAGAGAAACATCACTTGACTTCTCCTTCTGAAACAAGAAACTGTGTTGCTGCAAAGAGAAGTGCCATACATAAAAACTTGTCTTATTTTAAATGTCATATTTCACACTCTGGCAACTCACCACTGAAATGGATGTTGGTGTGGCTTCTTGGAAGAAAATATTTCTCAAAGATGAAGCTGCATTTGAAAAGTTGTATCTTTCAGCAATTGTGAGAAAACTAAGCAGGAATGCTAATACTAAAATAGTTTTGTAATAAAAAGGGCACTTGGAACCTATGCTGCTTCTCCAGCATTTTTGCTCCTGAGCACGCAACAACCTCATGCCACATTCTCACATGCATTCCCTGCTATTGAAAAAGGTGATATTCAAATGTAGAGATAAATGACCAAAGACACATTTGGTACCAAAAACAAGCCCTGATTGCATGCACACAATAGGTCAAAAAGTTGAGGATGTTGGGGAGCAGAGCAGAGCTTTGTCTCTGGAAATTTTGATTCAATGTGAAAATGTGATTGATGTGTCATTGATCTGAAATGAGATGAACTTAATGAATAACCTTGAATGAAAAGCTTGAAAAAAAATTTTATTCACAAAATGTTTTCTCCTTGACAGGTTGCTTGTGAAAGTTTTTGTGCGTCAAAAACCCTGATCTTGCCATCTTGGTATACAAAGTGATTCATCACTCTTCACTTCACAACTGACCAAAAAACAATCACCAATGATTTATGAAGCAAGAATAACTAAAAAATATTGCTCTGCATAGTGCATTATTGCTGCCGCACACATGTGTAAGAATGAAAACAATGTACAGGTGAATTTTCTCTCTATACAACCAAATTTGAGAGACCACAAAAAATTTTATTTTACGGATATTTTTCTTGTAGAGAACCCTTATAACATGAGGAGACCCGTAGAAAATCATCAAAGAGATGAATCAGTTACTTTGGATTATTGTAACCTATACTTCTGTATAATAACTAAATTTGGAATTCACAAACTCCGAATTTTCGCCACAAAGCAGAAGAAGAAAAAGCTGTTCAAGGATGGCCCTACATTCCTTTAACCTGATGTTTGACACAAAGATTGGTTTCAACCATCCCAAAAATTCTACTAATTAAATATTGGTAATTTTTCTTGCGTGGTCTATAGTCCTTTATTGTAGCCTACATTAATCACAACTGTTTCAATGTAGTAAGGTACAATATTGAGTTGAGGACAACTGTTGTAGAGCAAGAACACTTCAAATGAAAATTGTCTGTGTCCAAGAAGCAATATTTCACTTTCTTGGATATTGAATAGAATGAAAATTGCTGTTACAAAATACTTTGCCAAAATTTCAAGCATTGCTTGATGCATACAAACGACCTCTGATATTCGCATAGAAAGCACTTCATATCTCATCAGGTTGATCAGCGGGTCACACTGGCCACATGTTCGGTCTCACCTCAAGTACACACACACACACACACACACAAAAACACTTTATTATTTCCAGAGGACGAAGAGATTATTATTGACACTTGACTGAAGAAGGAACACAGGGAGACATTTTTGAAACTGCATCAACCCATGCAGACAACAAATAGAAAAGATACTTCATTTAAAGAAAATTATTGCACATATATAACTGGTGCTGGAGAATAATAGAGGTTGAATAGCAGAGTTGAGGAGCCCCATGAGCAGACTTGGGACTACTGTGAGCTTTCTGGCCCAGGTTACCGGGTGCATATAGAGTGAGACCCACCTTGAGCAGCTGGTTTTCCCCTTTTTTTTTCTTTCTTACTTTTCTTGTTATATACGGGGACGAACGTGTTTGATCAATGCCTGTGCGACACCGGAGTCACGATTCCTATCAACAGTCGTGGCATATTTATTTAGTTTTGCCTTTTATTATAACATCATTTTGTCATCCTGAAATAATTATTGAATACTTGAAAGTGGATTTACCTGAAATGGGTCCTCCTAAGTTTCTCCACAACCATTGAGTGACTTCAAGATTGTAATCAAGCAAAGGCAATGCTGACTTCACTGTGGATTCTGTGGTTTCTTGAATGAGAGAAACATCACTTGACTTCTCCTTCTGAAACAAGAAACTGTGTTGCTGCAAAGAGAAGTGCCATACATAAAAACTTTTCTTATTTTAAATGTCATATTTCACACTCCGGCAACTCACCACTGAAATGGATGTTGGTGTGGCTTCTTGGAAGAAAATATTTCTCAAAGATGAAGCTGCATTTGAAAAGTTGTATCTTTCAGCGATTGTGAGAAAACTAAGCAGGAATGCTAATACTAAAATAGTTTTATAATAAAAAGGGCACTTGGAACCTATGCTTCTCCAGCATTTTTGCTCCTGAGCACGCAACAACCTCATTCCACATTCTCACATGCATTCCCTGCTATTGAAAAAGGTGACGTACAATTCCAGAGATAAATGACCAGAGACACATTTGTTACCAAAAACAAGCACTGATTGCATACACACATTAGGTCACAATATTGAGGATGTTGGGGAGCAGAGCAGAGCTTTGTCTCTGGAATTTTCGATTCAATGTGAAAATGTGATGAAAATGTGATGTGTCATTGATCTGAAATGAGATGAACTTAATGAAATAACCTTGAATGGAAAGCTTGAAAAAAGAAATTTTATTCACAAAATGTTTTCTCCTTGACAGGTTGCTTGTGACAGTTTTTGTGTGTCAAAAACCCTGATCTTGGTATACAAAGTAAGTCATCACTCTTCACTTCACAACTGACCAAAAAACAACTACCAATGATTCATGAAGCAAGAATAGCAAATATTGCTCTGCATAGTGCATTATTGCTGCATCACACATGTGTGAGAATGAAAACAATGTGCAGATGAATTCTCTCTCTACAAACCAAATTTGAGAGACGACAAAAATTTAATTGTACAGATAATTTTCTTGTAGAGAACCCTTATAACATGAGGAGACCCAATGTAAAATCATCTAAGACATGAATCAGTTATTTTAGTTTGTAACCTATACTTCAGTATGATGACTAAATTTGGAATTCACAAACTCCGAATGTCTGCCACAAAACAGAAACTTGTCAATCAAATTTTAGTTTGTTAGCCATGGGGTTTTTCTTTCAAGAGAAAGGTTTGTCAGCAAAAAGCATTCTTAACCAAGCAAGGGGTTTTTAAACTGAGGGTCCGTATATATTTTAGATGTGGATTGACCATGTAGAGCAAGGGTGATCAATACATGGCCTGAGGATCATATATGGTTGATTGGGGCTTTTCATCTGAGCCCAGGATAAAAAATATATTTCTTCCAGGATAAAAACAATGGAAAAGAAAAAATAATCAGTAAATTCAGATAATACTAAGGCTATTTATTGAACAGTTGCCTGAAAAAGAGATTAATTGTAAACAATAATTCAAAATCAGGAGGTTTGTTATGATACATAATGATGCATTTTAAATTCATGACCATTGGACAGGCACATATTTTAAGGGCCTTGATGAATGCTGCATTTTAAATCCAAACTCAGTTATTTGCGACAATTAAACAAGGGGTTGGGTACCATCTGAGTTGTTATAAACCAAATCTCCTCAAAAATTAATGCATCACTTTTCTGAAAAACTGGCACTTCTTACACTTGCTCAAGTCAAAAACGATTTTTTAATACTGATATGATCCAGAATTGTCTGCTGTGTTTGTACTTCAGTTTAATCTTTTCCTTGAAAAATTGTTCAGATTCATTTCTAAAATTCCATCATCAAAAAGTCAGCCATGCAAAGTAGCAGATGGAAGTTGAACTAATACAGCAGTAAAATGTTTGTATGGATGAAGAAAAAGCTGTTCAAGGATGGCCCTGCATTCCTTTGACCTGATGTTTGACACATAGATTGGTTTCAACCATTCCAAAAATTTTACTAATCACATATAATTGTAACTTTTCTTGTGGGGTTTTCAGGAAATAACATCGGATGTAATTAGTGTTGACAAAGTTACATCATTCCATGTTATAACTCAACTCCTGTTGACAACATCTCGTTCTTGTGAAGTTTACTTTTAACAGACACAGGTTCTTCGTTATATTCACTTTCTTGGATATTGAATAGAATGAAAATTGCTGTTACAAAATACTTTGCCAAAATTTCAAGCATTGCTTGATGCATACAAACGACCTCTGATATTCGCATAGAAAGCACTTCATATCTCATCAGGTTGATCAGCGGGTCACACTGGCCACATGTTCGGTCTCACCTCAAGTACACACACACACACACACACACAATTGATGCATACGAACGACCTCTGATATTCGCATAGAAAGCACTTCATATCTCATCAGGTTGATCAGCGGGTCACACTGGCCACATGTTCGGTCTCACCTCAAGTACACACACACACACACACACACACACAAAAACACTTCATTATTTCCGGAGGACGTAGGGATTATTATTGACACTTGACTGAAGAAGGAACACAATGGGAAATTTTTGAAACTGTATCAACCCATGCAGACAACAAATAGAAAAGAAACTTTATTTAAAAAAAATTATTGCACATATATAACTGGTGCTGGAGAATAATAGAGGTTGAATAGCAGACTTGAGGAGCCCCATGAGCAGACTTGGGACTACTGTGAGCTTTCTGGCCCAGGTTACCGGGTGCATATAGAGTGAGACCCACCTTGAGCAGCTGGTTTTCCCCTTTTTTTTTTCTTTCTTACTTTTCTTGTTATATACGGGGACGAACGTGTTTGATCAATGCCTGTGCGACACCGGAGTCACGATTCCTATCAACAGTCGTGGCAAATTTATTTATTTTCGCCTTTTATTTCTCTTTTTTTTGCAGCGTTTTGCGTGGAAATTGAAAACGAAGAATTAATGGCAGAGACCAGCAGAGACCGAGATGTAATAAAACAACCTGAAGCACATCACCATCTCGCCATTATTATTTCTGATGATATTTTATGCATGATGCGGAAGAAATTAATTTCTCTGTTTTCTTATTGCAACAGCAGCACGGGACATTTTCTTGTTTCATTCTCAAAGCTTGCGTGGGATTATTTTTGACTCGAAAAGTAAACGAGGCGTTTCGACGTAAAAAGCGTAGAAAATCCCTGCATTTTCGGAGCTTCCCGGATTATATGTTTCCATGCAGCTGCTGATCCTGCTTTCTTGAAGCATCTTTTATTGTATTCGTTCAGCAGAGGTTTCCTTAAATAAAACTGAGGACATGAGCGGGAATTTGCAAAGGGGGAAAAATTGGAATTGGAAATACCATTTTATATACGTTCGACTTTCTAGGAATAGGATCAATAACTGAACCAATGAGCAAACTAAAAATATTAGGCAAGAAGGATTTTTCTTTTTGAATACTGTATAGACTTTTTTTGCTCATTCAAAAATTATTTTTTGCTTCTTATGAAGTCCTGATGATGACGACTACAGAAAATGCCTTCAGTTTGGTGGGGACATTTATTTATATACACGTGAATCATTTCAAGAAAGAATGCAGGTAAAATTGTGACTTGATAATTTTGTACATGGTACTTGTACAGTGCTTTCATTGATTGCAACATCCTTTTGAGAAAATGCGCAAACTGTCACACAAGGCCGCCCTGAAAGCTGTTATTTCACTTAGGTGAGTAGTAACTATACCAGGGTTCTAACAAAAGTTCTTGGAGTCAACCACAAGCCATCACCGGAGATGGATGAACATTTTTTTATTGGATTCCTCATCCCTTTTTAAGCTAGAACCAATTTTTTTTTATCCCTAGACAAAAAATGGAAACTGGGAAAAAAAATTGAATGAGTTTTTTCTGGTGCTGTGCCCATCCATTCCAACAGAAGTTCTTGGAATGAAAATGAAAAAAACTTTTGGGTCAAAAAATTTTTCTTATTGACAAAAAACACTTTCCCTTGAAGCCCTTCTTTCACAGTGGGAAACAACCAAAAATATCAGGGTTCAAGATCAGGGGAGTAAGAAGGAAGAGTAAAAAGCTGGATGCCCAAATTTGAAATGAAATCAAGAGTTTTCAAAGCAGTGTGTGCAGGAGCATGCATGTGCGCAACTGCTCTTTGGTCATGGGTGGGCACTTCATTGGATACCACTCATTCAAGTTTTTATTTTGCCTTTCCATTTTTGTCTGGGGATGAAAAAAAAACGATTCTAGGCCAGAAAAGGATGAGGAATCCTATAAAAAAATCCACGTCCATCTCCGGTGATGGTTTGTGGTTGATTCCAAGAACTTCTGTTAGAATGGGTGGGCACATCACCAGAAAAAACTCATTCAATTTTTTTTCCCAGTTTCCATTTTTGTCTAGGGATGACAAAAAAATTGGTCCTAGGCTAAAAAAGGATGAGGAATCCAATAAAAAAATGTTCATCCACCTCCGGCAATGGCTTGTGGTTGACTCCGAGAACTTTTGTTAGAACCCTCGTATATGCCCAGGCTAACAGCATAGTGCCCTTGCCTGAGGGTGTTGTTTCAAAATTTACGCCACCATTTCTTGGTAGAAGTTTCAAAAAAGCTCCAGCTATAGAGCCTCATCTGCATCAAAAGAAAGAACACTAACCATGAATATCAAACATTGCCTTTTGTCTTGGTAACTGAAGTTGATGATGTCAATCTGTATAGTTCTGAGAATTCTATGAAAAGGTCTGTTGTCCTAGATAAAACAACTGCTCTTTCCAGACTTCCTTCTCAAATTTTAGAACTAGATTTGGGCTATAGAAAAGAAAATGACAAGCATCTTAGAACTTGGATACTTCTAAAACAACGTCCAGTGTCAACAATTTGAAGATGGGCTCATAGTTAAGCTGGTTTCCATTTCTTTGATACAATAATTTTAGAACATATTTTGTACTTTTTTCAGATAATTCGAAGAAAACTTTCAATTTTCTTCAATGTTTCCAACTGTGGGACGTCCTGTATTTGAATCTGAACCAACCGCAAGGTTTCCTCTCCACAACCCGTCTCGAATACCATCTGAAATATACGGTCATCACCTGCTTTGAGAATGTTACTCGGAGCCATGTAGATGTCGCACTATTAACATTTTCAGCCCACAAGGCAATCCGTTGCTCAATTATGCCGCTTTTCTTTTCGTATTGTATATAGGGACTCTGCATCATGGAAGAATAACACTTGTGCGACTCATTGGTCGTCATTCATGACCCATCTCGATCCTATTGCTGGTGCCGTTGATTTCATTGAAGGAAGAGGACCGTTAAATACCCGGATTGTGAGAATTCCAGCACGGCATTCCTACGCTGATTTCCGAATAGCTTGGCCACGGCTGCCCTTTCATCAGTAGCTGGAGGGCTGAAACATTTGTTTACGCCTCAGTTTTCCACCTGCTTTGTGATCGCCAATATATAACTCATTCTTCGTCTCGGCCCTTTATCCTTTATCCTCGGCGGGTATTTCCGCATTTTCGAACATTTTTATCTACAAAGTTCTTTCCGAATGAAATTCACAGTGCTGGTATAATTTTCGGAATCTTATACCTATAGTGTTTGGTAATTCTCGTTAAAATTATTATTCGTCCAGGTCCTGGGGTGTCCAAAATAGTGTGATATAAACCCATTAACAAATGTCACACGTATATTGGAACATCATTGAATCATGCAGATATGTGTCTTCCAGCAAGGAGTGCATATAAATATCAAATAATAGTTGTGATAGGATTTTGATATATTCGTTCGGGTACGTGACATATATGGGAAAAGAAATACTGTATACTGTGTAATTGGCAAATTCTCCAATCGGGACTTTGGCTGAAGAAGGATCATTTTGAATGTAAAATCAGTTAAAAATTTATTTCATTTCAGATATACATGATGAGATTTAGTCCTTTTCCATTTGCAGTTTCGTATTTGGTTATATGATAATTTTTGGGGTTTAATCAATTCATTAAACGTTGATGCATGCATATTGTGAGTTTCTACCCTGAGCAATGTAAAGTCATCCATTGATTCAGTGATCCAGTTCAGTGTCATAAATTCCCCTTGCTCAAATCTATCTCCATTTTGTTATAAAAGATAACCTCAATTCAGTGCCAAGTTCCTATACTCACTGCCTACCACAAATTTTCCTTTTTCTTTATGAAAAATTGGACAAAATTAAAAAAAATTGAAGCCTATGATATTCCTATTGGTATACAAAATCACATGCCATGCCCCACATGAAAGCTCCAGGACAGTTTGAAAATTATTTTTTGATGAATTAACACTGTAAATTGTGTAAAAGACACTTTTCTTGCACTTTACCCTCCTTAAATGCACTTTCTAAAAATTGAGTGGGAGCTTTTGCAGAAGCACTTGTTTCAGCATGAGGGCAAAAATATTAAACTCAAAGAACAAATAAAGAAACAACTATACGGCTGCGTTTCTTTTACCAGACACAGTATGGATACAGATGTACGATATTCTGTTTATAGAATATATAGCATATTACAGTTTAAACAAAACCAACTTCATATGATTTCTCATGCATTTCTTGTTCATTATTGGGCAGTCTCAATGGCTTGAAAATTCTGAAACAAGCTGATTTTGTCTGCATCAGAAACCATCAAGTGAATCCTTATCTCATTTAAGGCCCTCGATTTAGTGCAGCTAGACACAGAATGTGCAAGGACAAATAATAGCACTAAATCCAGGTTTGCCTGTAGCAGTAATATCAAGAACATATCTTTATGGGCCCAGATAAATTGCATTTAGAGCTTTATGGCAGTTTTTTTCATAGATCGGCAAGAAACTTGATAGCTTCTCATTTGGAGTCACTCAATACAATCCCAGCACATAGTTTTTTTGTAATCAAGTTGTGCACCTTTTCTCATGTACAGTTGAACTTCAATTTGTAGTGCATGTCGGTGAAACTTGCCGCTTTCCAACTTGCCGCACACCCAACCTGCTGCAAGCTGTTCAACTTGCCGCTACCACAACTTGCCTCAGTGACAACTGGCTGCTGCAATAAGTCACTGCAGTTGGAAGTTCCCACTGCAACAACTTGCCGCTGTAATTACTTGCTGTTTCAACAACTTGCCACATGAATTGAAGCAAGTTCACTTGCCACTGCATTTTTTTCTTTCCCTTTTTTTTCTCTGTGACACACAGATGGAGGCATTTCATGTGAAATTTAACATTCAGGTACCAACGTTCTTTTTCTTCTCATTTTCTCCCATTTTATTGTACAGTAGGAATGTATTTTTCAACATACCAGTACCGTATCTGATCTGATTCAGACATTTTTGGGTCTGAACTCCTTTGCACTGTGTCACTGTGTTGGAATTTTGAGCAGTAAAAGAACCAACTGTTATATCCATAAAGTCCTACAGCAAGTACGTGAATGCACAAACAGTTGCGTGTTTCAAGAATTGGGTTTACCAGCTTTGGCTGTATGTTGGAGAAAATGACAAGTGTTTCATTAATTATAGAAAATGAAAAGTCAATTTATTTGTTCTTGTCATAAAAGCTGCCTTCATTTTATCAAGTACAGCAAGTTGAAACAGCGGCAACTTATAACTGCTGCCAGTTGTGACTGCGGCAAGAAATGATTGCGGCAACTTTTTGCTGCGGCAACTTGTTACTGCAGTCACTTCAAGCTGCGGTCACTTGCAGCAGCAGCAAGTTAGGGTGCGGCAACTTGAGGTGCAGCAAGTTCAACTGTGGCGAATTTCACCTGCACCTGCCACCTGATATAGTACCACCCTCACATAGTGCCACAAATTTCCCAGGAACAAATTTCGGTCAATTGTGATCTTGAGGGAAACCTAATTTTTTAGTTCCAACTTGCTTAATAGTGTCATGGAAAACATATCATTCAGATGAATGGCAATTGGTCCTGACATCAATGGGATTGAGACATTTTTGGTGAATATATCAGTGATGCTCAAGAGTTATAACTTATTTAAAACTGACTTATGTCTATGCTTACATAAAAATCCAGTAAACCTTGAAAAGTCCATGTGTCTGAATTAGGATTGTTGCAAGCTTTTTTCCATGGGTAAATTGGATCCCAGACAAAGGAATTGAATTGTGCAGCCATCAGAATGCAAGTTTTGAATAAGAACTCAAACTCTTTTTCAGAGGAGTTTATTCTCATTGCCCAGTTCATCAATTGGCTGTTAATTCAATATAATGGCAGAGTCAATCGTTAGTTCAGAATAATGATTGATTAATTTAATTTAGGTTGAAAGGCCCTTTTAACATTAGGTTTTGACTGCTTGACTTCTCCTCTCAAATAGGAATGAGGGTTTTTATACCAGTGCGTCTTGCAAATGAGGCTCAGTGAGTCTTGCAAAAATGGGATTTTTGCGAGGCTCACTGGCCTCCAGAACCAACACATTTTTGGGGTTCGGTTTCCACCGGATGCTGGAGCTGCGTTGCTTGGGTCCTCCACAACACCTTCCTTTTTTGAAAATATTATTATGATCAAAGAGGGAGCATTCCTGTAAACATGTGTGATTGCACATGATATAAGTGCAAAACTGAGAGATATCTATTATGTGTAGAAGTTGTCTTCTTTGGAGGGTACCTTGAAGCTGGCCGAAATTAAAATAAAGTGGCTTCATCCAGGCTTTGAAATAATATTGATGAGATTCCTCATAACACTTCTCAAAGAGAAAATTTTCAACCAGTTTTTGTTGATTAAAGTGGGACCCCAAGATACAAATGGGTGTTGGATAGACATTGATTGTCCTTAAATTTAAAAATCTGCATGTCAGACCTCCTTCTTCCATGGACTTTAATGGGAATATTCCCATTTGGTTCACCTTTACATCAAAAAAGAAAAAAATTCTTCCTGAAAAATTGAATACAATATTTTTTCCACTTCGAGATACAGAAAGTGAATGTAAAGAAAAACAACACGCAGAATCAGATCTGTTGGCATCAGAAGGAGCTCAAAATATAAAGAACAAGTGCAGGTGTTTTTTATATACAGCAAACATAAAATTAAAAAAACTGAAAAAAGAAGCAAAAAATTAGCCTGTTTTTGATTATGAACTGGGATAATTTTTAAATAAACATCCTGTTTAGCATTTGCAAATGTGAATAGGTGAGATTTTCCAGAAATATAAAAATGCAAAATTTTTTTCCAATTTTTCCAGAAATGTTGGCTATATAAGTGTTTACCACATACAGTATTTTCTTCATGCCAGGTCAGACTTTTTCAAAGTTTCACATGTCCCCAAGTAAAATTGTCCACATGCTGATGGGGTGTCTGTATTTTGGGGTCTCATATCCCTTCCCTGTAGATTGGAATGAATGGCACAATATAATGCAATGATTGTTGTTTTCTTTTATATCCCATCAAATTTCACAAAATGAATTTTCTACAGAATCTTCAATCTATAGTGACATCCAAACTCATTGCCACAAAATATCACGGGATGGAAGGTGGCACTGAATTGGTTTGACCGCTTTAATTAACAGAAAAGTTGGTGGGATTGGCATCAATTTTGACTCATTCCACTGAGGAACTTCCTTAGATTATAGAACAGAACACACACACACACACACACACACACACAGGTTCTGGGGCGTGACAATCCGGTGTGACTTTTTCTCCTTATTTTTTTCTCATCAGTTAGCAGCAATGAACAGAACAAAAAAAAAAGCGGCAAAGTGGCTTCTGATTTTCTCGCAGTGAACAGGATGGTGAATATTACGATGGAGACCGCAATATCCGCTTGCTAATCTGCACCAGCATCAGGAGCTTTCAAATTTATTCCCGCGACTTGTTTCTGTCCAGCAGCAGCATTTAGTTGGTCTGTGCTCTGTGGTGGTTCTCTCGTCCTCGTTCATCGCAGATCGGAAAGCTTTCAATAATTCATTTTTTTTTTCATTTCGCGCTGCTGCTGCCGGCGAAGTTTGCCCGGTAAATTTGCCGTGAATCAATTGGGTAAAAAAAAAAAAAAAATGCCGGCGATGAGGAGGGAAAAGTGATGGTGGGTGACGCAGTTTGGAGTCCTCCAAAACAGCAGCTTCGGGCTGTGGTTCGAGTCGTGGTCGCTGTTGCCATCGGCTCCACTTCCGTGTCTTCCACGCAGCGCAAATCCGTCGTGTTCCGCTTATTTGCCATTCCCTTGGCGATAACCACGGCCATCTTGGTGCTTTACTGCCAATTCTGGAGGGGTCCAGCATCAGCAGCAGTAGTCATAAGAGAGCATCAGCGGGATAATGACTTATTGTTGGCCAACAATAACCGAGTGTTCCATGTCAACCAAGGGGCTCGGGTCTTGAGTGTCGGTCATATTCCGGTCCAGGAGTTTGCCCCTGAAGATTACGAGGGTAAATACTGCATATGGTGACGGTGTATAGGGAAAATAAAAATTGGGTGAGAAATTTTTCTGGGCGTGATGATGGCGATATTGCGAATGAACAGCTGCTGATGAGGATATATGTAGAAAAAGAAAAGGAAAGAGAGAGGGAGAGAGAATCAAGGAAAAAGAAAAACAGGATTCTTTTGACCCTAGTCTTCTGTTATTGAAGGAAGGTTGGCTGAGATCTCTGAGAGTGTTTGCAGACAAGAGGTGACATCTAGACGCGACAAACGTTTCTGTTGAGGAGAAAACGAGAAAGGAAACTAATCAAGGTTTCCTCCTCAATAAAAGCAAAAAATAATTATATTTATAGGAGTCAGTCTGTCCTGAACTCTCTTGAAAAATTTATCTTTTTATTCCTTTTGATTTCTGTGCAGAAATTTGTGCTACTCCTGCAACTTACTCAAATCTGTCTTGTGCATTGTAATCTTATTCTTTGTATTCAACTCTGCTGAAGATCATAATAAAATTTTTTGAAAAACTAGAAACATATATTCAAGGAAACCCCTTTGAATACGTGTTCTTGGCCTTCAAAAGGCTGATTGCTTGCATTTTTATTCACTTTATTTTGTGATGATCCTTGATCACATAGTTTCTCTCAATCTCAGATCTTTGGTGAAAGGACCACTTTTACCAGTTGGTTTTGAAAGAACCATTGAAGTTTAATGTTTTAAAAATCAAATAAAATTGAATTAAATCACCAAATCCGCTTTCCAATTGGATAATAATGAAAACACATCAGTTTAATTCAAAACTTAACTTTTACCGGCAAATTATTTAGGTGTCACTTGAATTTTCAGCTTTGTGGTCAGAAAATGTATACCATGCTCACATACCCTTCAACATTTGCCATCAACACCTGCTGAACAGACTTAATCTGTGCAACAGACTAGTCTGTTGTATGAAAAGTCTGCTATGCAAATTCAATTATTCAAAAATTAGCATTTTTATGTTTACTGCAGTCCAGAGGCAGTCTGTTGTGCATCAATCCCTTGTGCAGGAGTCAACAGTTCTGCAAGTGTGCTAAACTAAACCACACTGGTGTATTTCAAAAACGTTTTGAATTTTTTAATGTAACCTACTCAAGATGCTCTATGTTGCAATTGCATTGGTTCAGTTTCACCTCTCTGCTGGTACAGTATCTTTCAGTTTCCTGCACAGCCAATTTAATAAAAGAAGCAAATCAAAATAAATTTCAATGAATAGGTCCACTGTAATATTGAAGGAGTCAGCTGACCAATTGTAACGTTGAAGAGAAACAAAAAATAAGCAGGTATTTGCGTATGGCAGACATGCATGTGAAAAGTTGCATACCTTATGGGATCCAGATTCTCAGTGAATTGAAACAGTAGTAACATGGAATTTAACAAGTAATTTTATTTAAAATGTAGGTTCCAGTAACTTTTCAGAAAAATATTGTGGTATGAGAAATCCTGCATAGAAGGGTTAAATTAATTTAAGAGTGTATCTAGTTGGTGTCTTGTAATTTGACCTCTTGCAATTTGACCATCCTGCAATTCAATGGTCAAATTTGCTGGGAGATTGACTTGCAATTTGACCTCTGCCCCACAGTTCAACCTGCATCAGCCACTTTTTTTTTAGCGTTTTTGTACTATATACTGACATTTGATTCACATGGTGTCTTGCAATTTGACTATTTTGCATTTTGACTCACACCAAGCAATGAATTAGGGTTGAATTGCAGGGCACCACTTGTCATAAAAATGTAGGAGTGATAATCTTGAACCAGCATTGTCTCATTATTGCACAGGTAATAAGTTTGGTTTACAAGAAAGTTGCAAGTTAAATTTTTAGTGGAAGCTTTGGTCCAGTCATTTTTCCCTCTTTTTCCTTTTTTTATGATATCCAATTACCAATAACTCCTCTGGTTGTTGCAGACATTCATGATGAAGTGCTGCGAAAAATCCGCCTGCATGAACGCAAACTCCACAGAGCCCCATTTTATGGCTTCACTAATGAGTCCATGGGAATCCTGTACAATGCTTCAAACACTGATGCTTTGTGTTTCTGGCAAAGGAATGCTCTGAAATGGCTCACAGCTGCAACGCCGCCCTTTGACCAGTCGCCAACTGTTGCCAGGTACTTTTTAGGGGGACCTTTCATAGGAGGAAAGATCTTCAACACTTGTGTCATTGTGTCCAATGCTGGGGACATGAGGAACTCATCCATGGGACAATTCATTGGCAAGTTCCATTAGTAGTTTCATTTGGATGAGAGAAAACTGCTTATTGAAACACATAATGAGTTACTATACTGAGGTATAATAGTCCTATTGCACATAGTTTTGGTCTCCAATCCAAACCGTTCCCCAAGACACTGGTCTTTTATTAGCATTGGAAATTTTCTCAGAGCAATCTTCTTTGAATTATAAATTTTGGTTCCAAATTTCTTATCTGTTAGCCACAATTAGTTTTATATGGAATGGATAAATCATCATCAGGAATAATGAAGGGAACCATAAAACTATATTCAACAAGTGGTGTCTGATCAAATGTCAGCCAGAACAATGAACTATATACTGTTTAAGTGACATTTTTGGCTGCATCTTTCCTCTTGTTTATCTACTTTTTCAATGGGAACAATTTTAGGAATGTTCTGAAACTCTATTGCTTTTACCTAAAACTGAGGAAACAAAAATATTTATGTTTTTGCATTGAATCTAGAAATTTTTTTGATGGATCTAGTAGAAATTGAGACAGGCAATTCAAGACAGGGCCAATTTAAGAGAGGAATGTTCGAAGACAGGGAAAATTCAAGACAATTACATTTTGAGACAGAGAATTTGAGACCTTTTGAGAAACAGACTATTTGAGACAGCAGCAATTCCAGAAGGTCTTCCCTTCGTTTCTCACTAATATCTTATGTTGAAGTTGTAATAAGGAAATGGCATTCATGCATGACATTCAACACCTGGACGTGATTATACGTGGAATGAAATTGAGTGAACATAGATTTTATTGGTCTGAATCCTAATTTTTCTCTTGACTGAAAACAGAAAAAGGGGAGTGGGGCTTTTATTGCTTTCAGCTTGTAAGGTTTTATAAGTAAGAATTAGATTAATCAAGCCTTACACCTTGATTGCAGATTTAGCAGAGTTTTCAAACTTTAGAGTTTTCAAATGGGAGATGAATAAATCAAAACACGGCAATTGGCCGGGCGCAAGGGGGACCTTTCATAGGAGGAAAGATCTTCAACACTTGTGTCATTGTGTCCAATGCTGGGGACATGAGGAACTCATCCATGGGACAATTCATTGGCAAGTTCCATTAGTAGTTTCATTTGGATGAGGGAAAACTCCTTATTGAAACACATGATGAGTTACTACTGAGGTATAATAGTCCTATTGCACATAGTTTTGGTCTCCAATCCAAATCGTTCCCTAAGACACTGGTCTTTTATACTATATAAGCAAGGGAGATTTTCTCAGAGCAATCTTCTTCGAATGATAAATTTTGGTTCCAAATTTATTATCTGTTAGCCACAATTGGTTTTATGTAGAATGAATATATCATCAGGAATAATGAAGGGAACCATGAAATTATATTCTACAAGTGGTGTCTGATCAATTGTCAGCCAGAACAATGAACTATATAATGTTCAAGTGACATTTTTGGCTGCATCTTTCCTCTTGTTTATCTACTTTTTAACTGGAAACATTTTGAGGAATGTTCTGAAACTATATTGCTTTAACCTAAAACTGAGGAAACAAAAATATTTCTGTTTTTGCATTGAATCTGCAAATTTTGTGATGGATCTAGAACAAATTGAGACAGACAATTTAAGTCATGGCCCATTTGAGAGAGAAATGTTTGAAGACAGGGCTGACTCAAGACAAGTACAGTTTGAGACAGAGAATTTGAGACCTTTTGAGAAATAGACTACTTGATAACTTTTGAGAAAGAGACTATTTGAGACAGAAGCATTTCCAGAAGGTCTTTCCTTTGTTTCTCACTAATATCTTATGTTGAAGTTGTGATAAGGAAATGGCATTCATGCATGACATTCAAAACCTGGACGTGATTATACATGGAATGAAATTTAGTAAACATTGATTTTATTGTTCTGAATCACAATTTTTCCTTGACTGAAAGCAGAAAAAAAGTGGGGCTTTTATTGCTTTCAGCTAATGGAAATGGTTCTGACAATTCCAAGTGGAAGTGATGCCCTAAAACTAGCTTATGAGAAAAGTTCTCTTAAGAGAAAGTAAAGTTCCAACTTGGAGACTTTGTAACACCTCAGATAATAGGGAAGACACTTTTTTCCATGAAAAGTATTGCTGTCTAAAGCCAGTATTTTAGTGCAGTATAGAAAATTCCTCAGATTTAGCAAGAATCTAAAAAAAAGCCCAGAAATGTTAGTCCATTATTTGTCACTTTTTTAATAGCACACATTTCAGGCTTTTTATAGCTGAATATTTTTGAATGAACTTTATTTTCAATCAGACTCCCATGAACTGGTGTTTCGGCTGAATGATGCCCCAACAGCAGGCTATGAAGCAGATGTGGGCAAGACTACATCCATTCGCATCCTCAACAACAATGTGTGGAGAAACTCTTACAACCCAACAAAGGACAGAGACAAGGGGTTCCATTCAAACCCCATGTACCACAATGTTGTCTTGACAGTCTGGGAAGCATGTTTGAGAAGAGGGCCTTTCTCTTCAGTATGCCATCCACAAACTTGACTTGAGGCTTATATTTATTTGTTGAAGTCTTTTTGGTGCATTTCATTTCCAGTGTTTGAGTGAAATAGGAACCCCATATGTTCGCAAGGGAAAGAAAGAAAAGGATGATACTATTCAGCCATATTTCAAGAGGAGACAAGAGTTCCCAGAAGAACTGTTTTACTTTATGAACCCAGACATGCTGTGGGACATGTGGGACATGCTTCAGTACTTTTCTCCTGTACCAATTGTGCCCAGAATTCCAAGCACAGGTTTCCTTGGTAAGCCAGTGATTTCTTTCCCTTTTTTTCTTGAATCACACCTGCAAAACTGTTTCATTTTCATCATATTTCCCAGCTGTGTTTGTTTCTCTGTGGCATTGCAAGATGGTGGACCTGGTAGGATTCACACCCACTGTCAGGTTCCAAAGGGGCAAAGGAGGTGACCATTACTTTGATGCTTATTCCTCTGGAGAATGGGGATCCTTCAATCTATTTCATCCAAAGGCAACAGAGATGTCGCTCTTGTACAAGCTCAACTCCTTGCCAGATGATGACGTTTTCATCAAGGGGGTCATGAGGTTGACTGGTTTTTCCTCTGTAGATTGCACCAATTCAAAGTTTGCATGACAGCAGGGAAATAAATCCACTATATTTTTATTGCGTCTATGTAACTGTTTATCATTTGCTTTACATGAAAGTAATAACCTTATTAATCAGGCAAAAAAAGTATTCATATGCTGGTCACAACTGAATTGAACAATTGACTAACAATATTGTATATGGAAAGTGTGGTGTGTCTCTTTTCAGTGTTGAGCTGAGAAACAGATTTTCGATTTTTTTTGAGGTTGTTTTCCTAATTTCCCATGAACTATGGAGAAACAATTAAAAGAGTTCCCTTTCAAATCTATGGGAATTCAAGGTCCAACAAGCAGACATTCCAACATAGGGGCACTGCTCAAGCACCAATGACATCCGCATCTTGGGGTCTCACTGCATTTCAAATCCTGTTTGGAATAAAATATAAAGAAAGTATCTATGCAGCAGTACTTTTTGCACACTCACAAAAACATTATAATGAATAGTAAAAACTTTAAAGTTATTTCAAATTTTCAGCAGAAAATCTGAATTTGAAATAGATTAGCATGAAATTTGGGCATTCCTGACAATTTGAGCTCTGAACTTCTCAATTCCAAAGAAAAAATTGAGGGGTAAAATTTTCTCATCATTGTTTTGAAACTTCAAAATTTATAGCTCAAAAGTTGCTCAAATTCAAGCTGTTTAATCAAAAATACTGCGCAATAAATTTTGTGGAAGTCACTTTCTTCTCAGGGAAAAATTTTGGAATCAAAAGTAATTATTCAGCAAAGAAGAAAATAGCTAGGAACCACTTTTCACCTGTTGCATTAAATTCATGCAGTAAAAACTTGTTACAGTAAACTAAAATAATTGTATGACATGGAATATCTGTGGCATAACAAAATAACTGATGCACAGTATAACACAATCCCAATAATAATTTTGAGCTGGTTGAACTGCATATGTTGCAGTCTTGAAAAGAGATTAGCTTCTAAACCTGAATTTCAAGGAACTCTATAAGATGATGTCAAACACTTGCGCTGTACAAACTAATTTCCTGCTTCAACTTCAATCCATTTTGGACATTCCAATCCTGTGTGGCAACAATGATGAATAGAAAGGGCATCCTCTCACAATAATGCATTAGGCTTTTAGTGAATCTGCTCTTTTCCAATCATAAATTGATCACCAGGGTGTGGTTCTTTGTAAGGGTTTCCAAACAAAGGGCAAGAAAGATTGCCCACACTGAGAGGCAGCTCTTTTTTTTATTCTCAACAAAGGTAAAGGATTTGTTTTATTTTGCATGATGGGATTGTTAGTCATTGTTTTGCGAGGAAAAAAACGCTATCTATAAAATGGTAACATGTGACTATATAGAACAAGCAAGATAAAAAGGAATGCTTTAGGACGTGTCCCAACCCTGCAATTGCATGATTGAGCAGTCATGAAATATCCTGCTCATACTTTTACTCTGTGGCACATACTGATTTGCAGCCAGGCATTTTGTAGAATTTTAGTTCATCTGCTGTTTTATGGAATCTTAGAAAGTGTTCCAGTATTTAATAATTTGTGTGTGTGTTTTTTTTCAAATTTTACTTATTTATTTCAGAACAGCTATTACACATGCTTATATCTGACCAAAGCTTCAATGCTCTCTGTACAGAAACCCCTGCCTTTGAAGATGCTCCCTTATATGATTTACTTGAGTCAGCTTATGCGGGGGCATAGTAAACACTATGCAGGTTTCATGTTTTTTTAACAGAACGCCATTCCTGATTCTGATCACGCATATGATCTGGAGTAGTGTTATAACTAAGCTTTATGGGCCCATATGGACTGGCAAATTTCCACAGCATTTTCTACAGACTGCAGGGAAAATTTCATTCAATTCTTGCAGATTGAAAAAGTTTTGTTTGAAAGACTTTATGGCAGATATTTTAAAATTTCATATTTTGCAAATATTAAGATTAGAACCAATGAACCAGCTATAGTAGAATTTATTTTTAAAAAATTAGGAAAGTAGGCTTGAATGAAGGTTTCTCAGTGTGAAAAACTTGAATAATTTTTTCAGCAGATGGCAATTTTTTGGAAGCATTATTAAAAATCCAACTTGTATTTTTCATCAGATAATTTCAACTGCCATTGTCTTTCCAACATTTCAGATTCAGATGACAGACTTCATTGCTACTTTTGATGAATATATCATGCAGAAGAAGATTTACCCATGCAGGACATGCAAAGTCCTTGTGTGTATCCATCAGCACTGGTCTGTAGACCACAGGTTGGGGAACACAGTCCCAAACTCCTAACACAGTAAGAATAACTTATGCAAAACAATTAGTTGTCATTTTAGGGCTCTAAAGTAAGTATCTTGAGCAATTTGGAGAGGGCAAATTTTTCTTAATTCGTGAGTGTGTTTATTATTATTATGGATAAGTACTATGGATAGTATTATGGATAAAGTATAAAGGAACCCTGAACAATTTAAATAGGAATAATGTTCATTGAAATGCATGCGTGAAATCAATTACTTGAGATTTTATTACCTTACAGAATGCAGCAAGAAAGTCATGAAAGTCAAAGAGGTGAAATAAATTTGTGGCAAAAAGACTTCATATAAACCCGCTTTTGAAGTAATGCTTAACTTTATTAGAGGGAATTTATTTTTCAATATCCTCTACAATCATTAGTAAATAATGATTCAGAGTTACTCTCATCAAAAGCAGCAAGAAACGTATTGAGGATCAAATCAAGAAACTAATTTGTTTGAGATATAACAAGGAAAAAGCCCTTATCGAAGCTTTTCATTTGTGCAAACATTAGCAAAAATGCTTTATAAAGAAGGTTGATGTTGGATTATATGTATTGAATTAATTTCCAGGACCTTTTGAAATAAATCATTTTAAAAGAAAATAATCCATTAAAGTGTGAGACAGTGGAGTAATCCGCTGTCATTTGGGTCAGCAGTCAGCACCATCATGCAATCAGCAAAGGAGGGCACTGAGCAAAAAAGAAGAAATGAATCAGTGACTGCTGGTCAAGTTTGTTTCAATTGGATTGCAAGAGTGATTCATGTGGGGGCATATGTTTGCGGATTTCTGCCAGTTGGAGGCATTTTGTGTGGAAAGCCCCGTTTTCCTGGCTGGCTTTCTCTTGGAGTTCTTTTGGCAGTGGTCAACATTTTCTTAACTGTTTACTTCTCTGCATGGCTTGATCTGATTCCAGGTACTGTAACTGAATGTATATTTATATATAGGTTCTACTCCAGTGTCTCTGTTTGTTCTAAATACGACCATTACAGTGGGTAAGTTAATAAGGAGGTCAAATCAAACCCATCAGTGGCTTGTCAGCAAATGAAGACATTTTCCATCAGTAAAATGTTTTTTTTTTAGCTGGATTGTTGCAAGACTGAATCAAACAATGCCAAAAGAGTACTTTACTTTATTCAGAGGAAATTGGAGTTCTTCCCATCAACTGATGTTTTCTAAAACTGTGTATCTTTTCTCCGAGTATGTGTATAAGTACAGAACATATTTTACACAAATCTTAAGTTTGCTACTTGAGAGGAACAAAGTGTATGTATTTACATTGATGCATTTGGATGAAGAAGGGGTCTGGTGCACACTCAATTATTCTCCACAGAAATTATTCTCTACAGCTTCTTTTGATTATGTCCTGATCAAAAGGTATTAAAGGATTCATAGGATATGTATATGTCTTTCAAAGAATATATGTGTTCATCATTCAAATGATATATGTGTACATTTTGCAAAGGATATACATAATATGAATACAATATGTCCATGTATTTTGAAAGAAAATACTGTAACCAGATACCTTATTCTTATTTGCAATCATTTCATGCATTCCACCTCTTTTTGGGATGAGAGAATTAAATGGAAGGCATTAAGGGATATTTAAAGGAGTAGCTTGCAGACCAAATAAGGTTGCATATTATGAAATAATTAAAGCTTATTTTGACAAGTTCTGTACAGTTGAACATCAGTTTCAATGTACTGAAATCACTGTATTCATGTAAATCATATGAATCAATGTTTGTGGAATAATGCAGTGCATTGTCCTCATTCTGCATCCAGTTTAAACTACCGTAGGTCGAGATAATGTATATTCAGTACTTTGGTTCATGTACCATTATAAAAACCAACCAATTTTTAACGTTCTTCACCTGTCTCTTCACCTAGTTAATTCCCAAAAAATTAGTCATTTATATATGTGTGGGAAGCATGTGGGATATGTGTCAAGTTTGGCGCTGCTGGTTATAATGAAAGGATTATTCTTTTTTGTGAAATAATCTCACTTCAATTCCCATACAGGTTTTCAACAACCAAGAACAACACTCCTGAGAATCAAGTTACAGTACTTAGCATTTGATCTTACGGACAGAGTTTGAAGAAAAAAGTGTTTGCCTATGGAGAATTATTCTGAAGAGGTGTCTAGAGAAATTTTAGTGCATTTTTCATCGAGATTCAAATGTTGATGTAACAAATGTTACAAATAAAACGTCTGCTAACTTTTAATTCCATGAAATTTGGGTGTGCCTCTTACTCATGATCAAATTTATATTGAGAATAACCCCTCCTTCATTTTCATTATGGGTTTAGTATTATGCAAAGTGGTACACATTTTGTCCTTGGGTTCATTAAATAGTTTATTCCTGACAATATTTAATTGTTTTCTGTTTATCTTCCTATATATAGCTGTTTCAAACCCCTATACTGTACTTTAGTCATGTCAAAATCTGCCTTCACTTCTGATGATTCCTGCTTGAATAGAATGGATGCATTTGCTGGCTACAGGATTCCAAAGAACAAATATAGCACAAGTTGGCTACCTGTCATGCCTCACATTTTCCTGCATAGCCTACATACTCAGCATGAGCTTTCATCTGCACAAGGCAAAGAGCCTGGCTTCAGTCCTGCAAAAAGCTCTTTCACTGAAACAGAAGGCATCTGAATATGGCGTCAATGTGGATGCTGGCAAAACAGAAATATGTTTCTTCTTCATCACCATGTTGTGCTACTCCTATGTAACATTCAACTTTTTCAATGAAGAATACCACAACCAATGTG